GTGCAACTGAGGAGCTGAATTTTTTACATTTCACTTAATTTTAATTAATGTAAATATAAACAGCCACAGGTGGCTAGTGGCTACTATATTGAAAAAAATATAGACTGAGGACATTTCCTAACCATCCTAGAACCATTAGCATTGGTTAGTAAGTGTTCATCTAAGTGTCAGCTAAAAGCAAGGGTAGTGCCTGTGGTGATGAGCAGGGTTTACAAACAAGAAATTGCTTGTTATCAACAGTGATCACAGGCCAAGGGGAAGGGAAAAAATACAGTTTCCAGAAATACGTGCCATACATGATTGAAAGTATTTGAAATAAGAGCAGTTAGATGCACTAATAAATCATGTATATCAAATCGCCAACTTCATTTAGGTTACTCTTTCTCAAACTTTTTCCTTCATTTCAGTTTCGATTTTGAATACAGTTATGTATTTTTAAAGCATATGCTTAGTGGAAGGTATCTTGTGATTTGTAAAAAAGTTATTTCTTCCCAAAAAGTTTATATAAGAGAGAGTATATGTGTGTGTTAGTAACTTTCCTGTTTACCAAAGAATCAGAGTAGCAGCTCATTATCATGAATTAGTATAAAGGACAGGAATTCAGTGTGTCGATATCAGTAAGTGATATGTTACTTGGAAAAGTATCATATTACAGGCTGATTTTTTAAAACAGAGATATTTTAAATGGAATCTTGAGAAAAACTTAAGACCATCAAGTATATGCAAAAGGATTCAATGTCACCAAGTAAGACATATGCTTTATTCTTTTCTCTGGCCCAAGTAATGAATACTCTTCTCTAAAGTGAATACACATAAGTTTCTTTTTGAAGTAACCTTCTCTAAATTGCCTGAAGGCTCCCTTTATTTAAGGTTTTATGAGAGCAAGAAAATGAAAAATATGACTATGAAAATGAAATGAAAATATGACTATGCAGATATGGAATTAGGCTTTCAGCAATAAGGAAAAGGGAGCTTTGCAGATTCCTAAAATAATGTGATGCAAACAGACATTTTCTCCCCAAATAGTCATTGTTCTCAGCATTTTGTAGGTACCATAGCATGGTGCATCACTGAAATCAACACATAACATGAGAACACTCTGTGTTGGCAGCATTTTCCTCAAAAAAAGCAAGGAGAGGGAGACACCTCCAGTTACGTTTCCCAAGCAGAACACAGTGATGTCGAGCATTGGGCAGGTTTTTATATTTAGTTAGGTTTGAGTGTCTAAGGTTCATTATCATCAGTAGTCAGGGACAGGAAATTTACATTCTCAGTGCAGGAGACAAATGTCAGAAAAGGGACACCGGTCTTTGTTAAATGCAAAAGAAACACTCTACAACCAGAGAAGGGCTTCTCCTCTCACCCCTCCCCAACCTTCTCCCCGCTCCCCACTCCAGCATCAGGGAGATCTGGGCAGAATTGATACACCCATGCCAGCATCTAATTACAGAGATAATACTGGAAGCAAACTGATTAGGCATGACATATGAAATTACCTGAGAAGGTTTAATCTCCTGATCATATTCAGATCTGAAGCCTATCTATGAAGGCTCAATTGCATGGGCCAGTTTCTCAAACACTAAACATTCCCTATCGCTGTCATCAGTGACCTGGAAGGGTGTACTTCACTTTCCACAGCGTAGGAGGCTTCATGTAGAGCCAGTCTACTGGTATGGAAAGGGTTCTTAGTCTAGGGATCATGGGCCCCTATGAATAGTCTATGAACCATGTATAGACTTCATAGGCCTATAGTGAATCCCCTTAAAATGCATGCCTATATTGTATATGTCTTACATTTGTCACTGTGTATGTCTGCGTGGAGGAAAGGTCAGTAGCTACTATCAGATTTGCTTTTGAAGGAGCTTATGCCCATCCTTATATAGCACACCATGGAGAAGACAGATGGCTCCAAAATATTATTTCCAGAAAGAATAAAGTGATCATAGCAAACACTTTTGCCAATAATGTCTCTGTAGCCACTCCATCTTCTTCAGTTTAGAGAGCTTTTGTAAATGCTATCTTTATTTTGCATTTTTTTAATCCAAAGATGTTTTGGAAATTTTTCTTAATGCAGGAAAAAATATATTGGACATACTTGAAAATTAAATCAAGGACACCATGTAAAATATTCTGATGTATTGCTACACCTTCAATATCTAAATTGATTGAGGCAGGGCCTCTGAGAAGAAAGTGAAAAATTCAGTCTGTCTTCCACATGTTTTGTCTGTACCAGTGGTTTCCAACTGGAGGGCAATTTTGCTTCCTAAGGAATATTTGACAATTGCTGGAGACAGTTTTGGTTGTGATGGTTGGGGTGCGGGGCTGCTCCTGGCATGCAGTGGGTAGAGACCAGGGATGTTGCTTAACATCCTACATTGTACAGAACAGCTCTGCAGCAAAGATACATCCAGCCCAAAATGTCAGTAGTGCTGATGCTGAGAAACCCTGATATAGATCATGACTACTGTTTTTGCCACAGCCTTCAAACCAGGCTTATCCCTCCACACCCCATGTGCCAGCCAGCCATAAAAGTAACTTCTGGTTCATGTTCCAGTTTGCCTATTATTTAACCAGTGTCCTCCCCGTTATGCCTTATTCATTCTCAGTCTTGTCAGTGTGACTTCAAATCCAATGCTGCTCCCACTGATTTGAAAAATCTCCCTTACTTCCCGACTGGCATATGTATATGTGTGTGTGTGTGTGTGTGTGTATATATATATATATGTGTGTGTGTGTGTGTGTGTGTGTGTGTGTGTGTGTGTGTGTGTGTGTATATATATATTTTTTTTTTTTTTTTTTTACGGGGGGACTTCAGTATGAAACAGTTTTGGTTGTCTTGTTATGGCTGAGTTGTTGGCTTTTCCAGCTCCTCTGACCTCAGAGCAGGACTCTATCTTAGAGTTCAAGATCTCCAGTTATGCAGACTTTAACTTCAATCCCAGCTTGGTCATTTAGCAGCTTCGAATCCTCATTCAAGTTACCTATTTTCCTGAACCACAGTTTTCTCTTTTATAAAATGAAATGCCTGGCACCAATGATCCTGCCCCAGAAAACCTCCTTCTTCTTAAGGGAATAACTATTATTATCATATGATCAAGCTGATACAAATATAGCCCTTGTGTTGTGAGGCTTATGTGAGAATGTATGTGAATTATGGTTGTCAGCTGGGGCTGGTTCTTTGTAATCAACAGGGGTGCCTCAAATAAATGAATTACAGGATCCACCCATTACCAGACTGAGGATCGCTGGTTAGAGTGCTGGACTCCCTGCCTGGCACATGATCCATGCTGTCTAGGTGCACCTGCTGTTGTTGCTGCCATGACCATTGTCTGCCCCTTTCCTAGTTCCCCTGAACCCATCTCTCCACCACTGCCCTCCGGGAGATGAGGATTTAAATGTGACAAAGTTGGGGAGTTGGCTTGAAGTTTCATTTTTCTTACAGACTTAAGTAATCCCATAGCCATAAATTTAGTCACAAAGCATGGCTTGATGAGTAAAGCCATGAGACTGTATTCTTCTTTTAATTGATATATAATAATTGTAAATATTTATGGGGTAAATGTGATTTTTCAGTTCATACATACAGTGTGTAATCATCAGATCAGGAAGATTTTATTCTTGACTGTAGCATCAGTAAGTGAGGGTCCTCTTCTCTGGGCAATGTCCTTCCTCTTTACCTCCATTCTTAAAAAAGGCTCATTTCCATATATTTTCTCCCATATTATATAGTGGCTAAAGAAACATGGTATAGTAATGGCTGGGTTGTCATATGGAAGATCCAGACATCCAATAAATTCCATTTTTGAGCCATTGACTTAATTTAATAAATATTTATTGGACATTGGTATTGAAGTACTAAGTATTGGAGTTAAAAGTGGGCTGAAATATAAGGTGAATCAGACAAACTACCCAGAGCATTGCTACCCTAAAAAGCATCAGCTGTAATGCATTGAGCCTTTGCCATGTGCCTTGCAATATGTTTGTTGTTTGATGAGCATTTTTCATTAGAAACCTTTCTTGCAAGGGAAGAACTATTATTCTTATCTTATTCCCAAGTTACTTAGAGCTTATACAGATCCATTCATTTGGTATACATAGCTTCTAAACAAACAAACAAGTCTTACAGCCACCTGGCATTTTGCAGCACATTGAGTTTATGTTGGAAAAGCATATGGATCTGAAGTATGTGGCATACAGTAAACACAACTTAAGGTATAGTAATAATAAGAGCATTCTACATAGATCACCCCATAAAAATGTCAGTCTATTTTAAAGACAAGAAAACTGAGTCTCAGAAAGCCTAAACCACCTGAGTCCCCACTGTTAATAAGTGTTGAAGCTGGCACTGAGCTCTAGCTGTCTCCTGTGTTGTTCTTCCAAATACCTGATACTGCTGAGAGTCATTATAGATCAACTCACCAACAAATAACCTTTTATTCTCCTGGACTGAGGTAGTGTGGCTGCAGAAGAAAAATCTCCTTTCCTTATTTTAATATCCAGGTTCCTCTTCTTCATGTTCAACAGTAAGGACTCCATCCTGGCATATTTCTTCCAAATGTGTCTAAAAGTAAGAAGGCACACGTGCCCTGAAGCATTTTCTACCCCTTGAACTCAGGAATCCCCTATGTCCCAGCAGGAAACTTGATGCCTATCCAGAAGCAAAGTTACTCGGCCGCCCTCGCCGTGGAGACCTGTTACCACACCAAATGCACTTCCCCCTCCTGCTGACAAAGAGCAGTCAGTGGCCACCGTTATTGACCTGAGCTCTAATTAGTCTGGTTTTATAATGAGGAAAAGAGTACGATTCTAATTAGTAAATTTCCATCTCTTTCTCAATAGGTATCCCCCAGTCAAAGCAATCAGCTATCCTCATCACACTGATTCTATTGCCAGAAAAATAACTGTACCATAAAACTCTAGTAAAAGTGAAGATGGTTAAGGCAACAAGAGAGCAGAATGAGGTTTTATTTGCTGCTAATGAGCTGCATTCTCTCTCTTAGGTCCGTGGCGCTCAGGTAGTTGGTTCTGACATGATTGTGACAGTTGAATTTACCAATCCTTTAAAAGAAACCCTGCGAAATGTCTGGATACACCTGGATGGTCCTGGAATAACAAGACCAATGAGGAAGATGTTCCGGTAAGCCTTGGGTTGGGGAGACCAGGCAGGCAGTGCAGGGCTGTGGGAAGTTTTCTATGCGTGTGTCTTTTCCAAACATAGATCTGCTCCCTCGTGAAAACGTCTGGGAAGCTGCCTCCTCCTTGCTGACAATGGAGTAAAACTAGGTTTGATTTGACGAGCACTTTTATCATTTAATCCTTAAAGACACCCTAATGATGTGGATACTGCTATTATCTCTCTTCTGTAGCTGAGGAATTTGAGGCTTTGAGAGGTTGACTGGTTGAATCTTCACTTACACAGTTTATGAAAACAGCCAAGATTCAGACTCAGGCTGGTGAATTCCAGAACCCAAGTTTGAACCACTTTGCTGTACTACCTACTCATGTATGGACAATTCTCATCTTTATTGAGCTCCTACCTTGTGTCAAATATTAGGCTGAGAGATGCTCCCTTTTCATGGTTCCCTTGTCTCCAGCCTCACCTCACAGATTTTACCATCCCAATCACTGTGTACAACTGTTGGATTCAGGTTTTTTTTTTAGTTGAGCCTAAAGAGTTCTAGATGGTTCCCCATTCAGGGGACCAAAGACAACCCCAAGTTATGTAATGATCTGAATGAAACTCAGCCTCCTCCACACACAGCCCCCTTCAAATTGTGCTTGATGGGTCTCAGTTTCTGTGACTTCTACTAACAAAGAGTGTAACCCAACAAGATAACCTATTCCATGGTCAGGTAGCTCTAATGGTAAGGAAACATGTTTTTCTACCATTTGATCCTACCAATGATCCTAACTCTGCCATCTGGACTGACAGAAAGTAGGCCCATCTCTCTTCCATCTGATGGTTTGCAAATGTTTGCAAACAGCTGTCTCATCTTCTTCGAATCTTTTCTACCTGGGGACAAAAATCTGTCCTGACTTTATTTCTCTCTCCTCTAACGTGGTTTCAGCTCTCTGTCTCTCTCTCCCACACATCCCAATTTGTCACTACTCCTCTTAAAGTGTGACACCCAGAATGGATCCCAATCTTTGAGGTTTATTACTTTCATTTCTACCACAAATAAGTCCTTGTCAGCATCAATCAATCTAGCACATTTCCTGTGGGGTGACCTTCTAAGGCATAGAAAGGGAGGGAGAGGACTTTGGAAACCGCCTCATGACCAGATATGTTAAGAATTTTCCTGACACCCTTTATGGAAGCGACCCCGCTCTGGAATCTGTGGGATAAATGCAAGGCCTCACTTAAACCCTCTAGGGCACTTTATTGCCCATAAAGGGCTCTCCGCATTTCTTTCAAATTACAAGGCTTATAGCTTCTGCATCTCATCATTTAAGAGATGCCTTATTGCAGATGCAATAAACAACAGAGAAAATAATCTGAGTGCTTTTGAAACAATGCAAGCACAAAACATAGCAACCTTCCTGTGCTAATAGGAAAGTTGCAGGAAAGAAAAAAGAAGTAAATTAGTAATCAACCCCAGCTAGATGGAGAGGTCAGCAGCCATACCCCTGCTTTCGTCAGAAACAACAGTCTCACTCACCCGTTCTCACACCTTCCCACTCGAATCAGATGCAAGAATCGTTCAGGCAAAGTGAAACACGTTTCCTCTTCCATACAGCCCCCTGCCGTATCCAATTTTTTCCTTCCCAGACAGTAACCCCACAAGCTTTATCTGAGTGTACTGGAACCTCTTCTATCTTTACACCTTGGCTATCCCCCCAGAATTCCACCTTGGTCAAGGTCAACACATGAAAAAGGACACTGTGTGTCTTAGACAAAAGGTGAATTATCACACAGTGCAATGACCCACTATTTGGGAGGCCTCAGGCTCGAAATAGGTTAAATCTCCAGACGGTTTGTTTATTGTTAATGTCTGACATTGGGGTGGAGCAAAGTGGAGTGAATCTGGAGAAAGGATGGATAAGGCTAGTCCCCACATGGACACAGATGTCCTGCCCACACACTGGCTTAAGGTACTATTAGTAGTTACTGCAACACGTAAGTCTAGGCAGACAAGTAGATAGACAGACAGCTAGCTGCTCTTAGTCGGTTTGCGCTGCTGTAACAGAAATGCCATAGATTGGGTGGCTTACACAACAAACATTTACACCTCACACTTCTGGAGCCTGGGAAGTCCAAGAACAAGGGGCCGACCAATTCGCTTCCTGATGAGGGCTCTCTTCCCAGCTTGCAGATGGCTGTCTTTTCACTGTGCCCTCACATGGGGCAGAGAGAGGGAGGGCAAGTTCTCTGGCATCTCTTCTTCGAAGGGCACTCATCCCATCATGAGCCCCGCCCACATGACCTATTCTAATTTAATTACCTCCCCAAAGCTCCATCACTAAATAGTATCACACGGGAGTTTGGGTTTCAACAAATGAATTTGTGAGAAGCACAAACATTTAGTCCATAACAGTCCTCAATCTCTCTTTTTAAGTTTTTTTTACTGACACATTGTAATTGCACATGTTTATGTGGGGTAATTTGATGTTTCAATACATATAATGTATGTTGTATAATGATCAACTCGGAGTATTTAGTGTATCCATCACCCCATGCATTTATCATTTCTTTGTGGTGACAACATTCAAAAGCCCATCTTCTAGCTCTTTTGTAATATACAATACCTACTGTTAATCATGGTTACCTTATAGAACACTAGAACTTATTTCTCCTATTTAATTGCCACTTTGTTCTCATTGGCCAACCTCTTCCCATCTTCCCCTTCATGTTCTCCTCCTCAGTCTCTGGTAACCACTGTTCTACTCTTTGTTTCTACATTATCAACTTTAAAAAAATTTGTTTTTAGTGTTTACATGTGAGTGAAATCACATAGTATTTGTCTTTCCATGTCTGGTTTATTTCACTTACCATGATGCCCTTCCTCCAGGTCTAATTCATGTTGTTACATATGGCAGCATTTTATTCTTTTTTATGGCTGAATAGTTATAGAAACCTAGATTCAGGGTGGAATGTCTCCCAGGCAAAAGAAGCTTTATTTCTCAGAGACAGTCAAAAATTGGGCGAAAAATCATGACATAGAAAACATTTGTTATCTGGATGGGCTTACAACTTGGACCAAGCGCTACTTTCTCTGTTTACTCCTCACTCCAGCACACACCTTCACAACCAAGACCTGAGCCAGTCCATGCCCACTTCCATATGGTCAGATAATTAGAAACACTCCACTGTGCCCTATGTTGCCAAGATCTGATCTAGGAGTGCCAGATCCATGTAACAACTTGGACGCCTAGAAAGTGCAATTCCACAGAACCAAAATCCTTTACAAGACTGTATTTCTCTCTAGAATACAGCTCTTAAATAGTTGGGGAATCACCACCCCCACTCATTCACCCACACCCTGCCAGATGTGGTGTCTAGAAGGCAGGGGGTCTTGAACCCAAAGTAGAAGACCTGGAAGGTGGGGAGCTGGTAAACAGGGAATCGGAGCCAGGAACAAAGAAGGCAGTGCTGTGTCCCATCCCTCACTCGCCGTGAGCCAACTCTACTCTGAAATGGTTTACCTTCCTGCTCTTCCCCCACTGCCTCCTGCCTATCTCAGATGCACAGAGGTCCCACTTCCACAGACTCTTAGCTTTCTGCACTTGAAGCTTCCAGAGCATCAAATAATTTATCTTCCAGATTTATTTTGCTCTTTAGAAAATGATCCAGTTCAATAAGTTATTTCAAGAGAAAAATTCCCCCACTTTGTGATTTGGGCTTAAACTTTAAGTTTCTCAAATAGGACAGAAGCTAAGGGCTAGATGCACAGAGGACAAACCATGGGTAGTTGCAGTTTATTGTAATAATAATCTCATTTGCCTGCGTGCATTCAAGATGATAAATGGCCGGTATCTCCTGATGGCTCAGCACATTACTGAGAATCATTTATCACAACATCCATCCCCAGAAAATAGGATTACTCCAACATTGCTCCACTTACCAAAATGATTTTTTCTCTCTGTTATGAATTTATCTGTATGTAAAGTAGCATGCATATGTATCTTCATGTATGAGTATCTTCATGTATGAGTTTTTTCGTATGTACACATCATTATGCCAGATGGTTTTATGAGTACGAGAAAATGACAAGGGGGAGCTAAAGATTTAGCTTCTATTTGAGGTGGTTAGCTACAGTACATGGTCTCAGGTCAGGTCCTTAACCAGGGCCACTGTTTCACAAAGTGCTTCTGATTGATCACTTGGGGGAACCAGAGGAAAGACCATGAATGGATACAGGTAACAATAGCACAGCTGTTGAGAAATAAATATCCCAAACCTACATTGGTATTGAATTGAGCACTGTGAATTGAGGACTGAGAATTTTCTCTCTGCATACAGGCAGGAGAAACTTTCCTAAATTATTTTGCAAAGAGTTCAATGAATCCTCCATGAATACTTGCGGGACAGTCTTATTACTAAGTCAAAAAGCATCTTTCCTGCTTGAGAAATAAAACCTATGAAAAAGTAAGCACAGTGGTCAGAAAAAGCCTTTTTTTCCTTTTTTTTTTATTTCCATAGGTTTTTGGGGGAACAGATGGTGTTTGGTTACATGAATAAGTTCTTTAGTGGTGACTTCTGAGATATTTGGTCACCCATCACCTGAGAAGTACATACTGTACCCAATTTGTAGTCTTTTATCCCTCTCACCCTTCCCCTGAGTCCCCAAAGACCTCAGCATCATTCTTATGCCTTTGCACCCTCATAGCTTAGCTCCAGCTTATGAGTGAGAACATAGGATGTTTGGTTTTCCATTCCTGAGTTACTTCACTTAGAATCATGATCTCCAGTTTCATCCAGGTCACTGTGAATTCCATTATTTCATTTCTTTTTATGGCCGAGTAGTATTCCATGGTATACACATACCACAATTTCTTTATCCACTCGTTGATGGGCATTTGGGCTGGTTCCATGGTTTTGCAATCGCAAATTGTGCTGCTGTAAATATGTGTGTGCAAATATCTTAGAAAAAGCCTTTTCTTATAGAACATATGGTGTACATTTTTATGAAATGTAGTGAAAAGTAGCAGAAAGAGTATGAATATGGGACTCAGAAAAACCTGGGTTCAAATTTCATCTCTGCCTATTTACCTATTATGTGATCTTGAAAAAGGGACTTCACTGGTTAACCTTCCATTTTTCTTGATCATAAAATCTGCTGCATAGTATCTGCCTCAAAGAACTGTCATACATATAAAATCTGAATATAATCTCCCAAGGTTTATAGGGGAGGCTATATGTGAAGCACCCCAGAGAACACTAAATCTCCCCAGCCCTGATTAGCCTCAGTCTGCACTGATGTGGGCTTGTTCATGACACTCAGGAAGACTTCAGGGCAAAGGCTGGGAGGAAGAGGAGAACACCACAACCATTCAAGGCTATGTCATTAACCGGATACATTAGGGCATTGACAACAAATGGTAGCAGAAAGTTGCATAGGTGGAGGGGCCCAATTTGGTGGTTGAAATAGGAATTTGAATGACAGAACATGAAGATTCTCAAAGTCAAATGGCAGCAGGCAGGGCTATGTTCCAGATGCTGAGCCTGGAAACAAGGTCTATCCCAAGGGAGTTGGCAGAAGCTAATTCGAGTGTCAGGGCCTCAGCAAAGGCAGCTGGGGGATTCAGATAGGACTCTAATCCCAGGAGGAAACTAGCAGCAAAAACTGAGCCGAGGCTCAGAAGATCAGTCACCCTCCATAAGGCTACTATGGAGGGCTTGGGGACAAGCTAGAGTTAATGGTTGGATGGGGCTCAGCCCAGCTCCTGATGGCCACTGGGAGGCCGGCAGATGCATCCTAGTGGAAGGAACCATGACCCAATAAGACTGTCAGTGACAGGTTCTGCAGAGCCTTATGTGAGGGCCTCATTTGGGGTGTCACTTGCTGAATCAGCCAGTGAGAGTCTTCACTGCCCTAAGCACCAACTGAGAGAAAGAAAGCAAGTGACTTAGGCAAGAGTTTTCACTGCTTCCTGATCAAGGTGGAAAGCTGGATCTTCCAACCTCTCCTCTCTTTTTCATCCTTTCAGTGAAATCCGGCCCAACTCCACCGTGCAGTGGGAAGAAGTGTGCCGGCCCTGGGTCTCTGGGCCTCGGAAGCTGATAGCCAGCATGAGCAGTGACTCCCTGAGACATGTGTATGGCGAGCTGGACGTGCAGATTCAAAGACGACCTTCCATGTGAATGCACAGGAGGCTGAGATGAACCGTGGCATTTGGCGTTTTGTAGTCTTGGCTAAGGAAATTCTAACACAAAAATAGCTCTTGCTTTGGCTTAGGTGTGAAGACCCAGAGAGGGCCCCAGAGTGGAGATCCCACGTATTTCAAAAACATACTTTTCAAAACCCAGGCTATTCAGCATGGAAGTTAGTTGTTAATCTCTCTACTTTCCAAAGAATGCTGAACATTAGTTTTAATTAAGCTCTAATTAAGCTCTCATAGCTCATAAGAGTAACAGTCGTCATTTATCATCACAAATGGCTACAGCTCCAAATATCAGTGGGCTCTCTTACCAGGGAGATTTGCTCAATACCTGGCCTCATTTAAAACAAGACTTCAGATTCCCCACTCAGCCTTTTGGGAATAATAGCACATGATTTGGCCTCTAGAATTCCAATCCCCTTTCTTGGGGTCAGGTTCTACCCTCCAGGTCAGAATATTTTTCCTAGGACTGGAGCACAATGTGATCTTTATTTTTGGCAAAGCCAGGAAAAGGTCTTTCATTTTGCACCTGCAGCCAAGCAAATGCCTGCCAAATTTTACAGATTTACCTTGTGAGAAGAGGTGGCCCCATATTAACAAATTGCATTTGTGGGAAACTTAATCACCTACAAGGAGATAAGAAAGCAGGTGCAGCACTCAAGTCTACTGAATAATGTAGTTCTGTGGTGCATTTTACAGAAGGTGTCGCACTGTGGCCTGATCAGCAGGAGCCAATATCCCTTACTTTAACCCTTTTTGGGATGCAATACTAGGAAGTAAAGTGAGGGATTTATCTCTTTAGTTAGTGGCTATATTTCACCTATCTCTCAGGAATCATCTCCTTTGCAGAATGATGCAGGTTCAGGTCCCTTTTCAGAGATGTAATAAGCCCAATAAGATGGAGAAGCTGGTGGATCTAGTGACCAGATATATAGAAGGACTGCAACCACTGATTCTCTCTTGTCCTTCACATCACCCATGTTGAGACCGCAGCTTGGCACTCAGGTCCTGAAGGGTCATATGGACTCAGCCTTGCAAACAGCCAGTGCTAGTTCTGACCCAACCACAGAGGATGCTGACATCATTTGTATTATGTTCCAAGGCCACTACAGACAAGGCTACCTACTATGTATTTGCAAGGCTGATTTATGGCCAGAATTTCCCACTGACATGTATAGGGTGTGATTTAGGCCAGTAGACTGTGATTCTTAGCAAAAAATGAACCGTGATAAGGATACTGCGGGCAAAATCAGAATGGAATGCTCTGATCTATATAACTACATTTTTAAGCCTTTGAGACTGTTCCTGAGCCTTCAGCACTAACCTATGAGGGTGAGCTGGTTCCCTCTATATATACATCATACTTAACTTTACTAGTAATCTCACAGCATTTGCCAAGTCTCCCAATATCCAATTTTAAAATGAAATGCATTTTGCTAGACAGTTAAACTGGCTTAACTTAGTATATTATTATTAATTACAATGTAATAGAAGCTTAAAATAAAGTTAAACTGATTATATTTGCATCTGAGCAGAGGTGAATGCTTTTAATTTTCAATATAACACACTACTAATCACAACTTCTTGAGAAACTATCCTTCCTCCGCAGTAGACAGCCCACCCCGGATAGGAAAACAAGCATTTATCCTCTAAAGAAAATGACTCTAACAGGTGTTAATGTCACCGTTTTCTTCACCTCTCTCTTTCTACATTTTATTAACTATATTCACTGAAGAATCAAGTTGCATATTTAGTTCAAAAACCAGCTTCCAGAAACTATAAAACCTCTGTAGGTGTTTTCTCATAAACAATCTCATGAACCATTGTGGTGAATCAGTGGATAGCCAGCATGGAGACCTGCACAATGAACACCTGTTATGGTCTTATGACAATCATATATAGGAGATCCTATATTCATGGCAGACATCACTGAACAATTGTAGCTCAGATAAGACCTCAGAATCTTTCTCAATTCCAGATAGCAACTAGCAATTGATTTGAAACTGGCACCCAAGATGGAACCTGTTTGTCACGCTTACCCTTAGAACCAGCCCATTCCCTCTGATAGCTGGGATTTCACACATGTATTAATGCTATGGCTCTAAGAATTATAATTTAGCAATGCTAACAAGCAATGTGTCTCAGGTAGCAGCATGACTTTGAGTTCTAACTCTCCCTGAGTCTCTACCTGTGCTAGTCCTCAGTGCTTTCAAACAAATCTTTCTTAGTGTTTGGAACTTCAATGACAAAAGAGGGGAAACATAAGAAACATAAATATTTTTGTTTCTTTTGGTTCTCCTGGGGGATATCTCAAACAAACCTCAACAATAACACATATAAGATGATGATGATGATAGATAGATAGATAGATGATAGATAGATAGATAGATAGATAGATGATAGATAGATAGATAGATAGATAGATAATGGATAGATAGATGATAGAGAGAGAGAGAGAGAGAGAGAGAGAGATTTGCAAATATTTCACCTCATCAGTCTTGTGACAGAAGTAAATATAACTATCTCCATAATTAAGAACCCAGTTGAGCCTAGGAAGCCATGTATCATGGCAACTCAAGCTGGGGGTGGGAGTGAGCAGTGAAACAACTCTGATTTCAGAATCACCATTTGCTGTACACTGTTTAAATCTTTTGTTGCCTCCTCAGAGTTTTAAGAATGCTGGCTTAAGAACAACTTCAGGATTATTTGAAGAGCTGCAGTAGAGCAACAAATAAAAAACATGTATAAATTTATATTAGAAATGTCACGGGAAATGGAGTTTGTGCTAGGCTCATTGGCACTCAAAAGTCACAAAATCCCAGGGGGAAAGTCACTGCTTATGAACATTCGTCCAATGTTATTACAAAGTTAATAGTCAGCCAACCCAACCATCAATTCATTCATCTTTTCTACCATCTAACCATCTCCCTACATCCAGACAACCATCTAGCCTTCCAGCCATCTATCCATCCTTTTTTTCCAACTATCCACCCATGCATACATCAGGTATCATTTTAGAGAACAGGGATTCCAAGATAAAAATTCCACGGTTCCTGCCCAGAAAGAGTTCATAAAGCAGAGGAGTAGCAACATATTTAAACAGATAATCCACAACCAGATAATAGAGCTATGCCCAGACTGCCATAGGAATAAAGACAAAAAGATGTCTGAAGAAGCCTTCCTCGATGTGCCCAGGAATAAAGGAGGAAAGGTTCAGATTGAATCTTGAAAAAATAATAGGTAAATTGGAGACCATTTAACAAAGAGGAGCTCGTGTAACAACCTAGAGAGAAGACCATGAACATGGCCCCCAACTGGCTTGGGATGGAGAGATGGTAAGCATCCAGTGAGAAAAGGTGGGGCCAAAAACACAGGAATGGGTCTGAGTTGGAGCACTTCCTGAAATGAGAATTTGTTTCTTCTGGTCTGTATTGTAGAGTAGAACTAAGAGAGGCTGCTAGGAACAAACTGGACACAAAACTAAAAGTTATGGGTGGCTCAAGGAGTGACTGGGCCAAGAAAGTATGGGGCAGAATGTCCTAACTCAGGCCAGTGAAGAAGGTGTCAGAATGGGGGCATGGCCATAGTTGGATTCAAGGATGGGAAATGAGACCTACCAGGCTCAAGTGGATAAAGTAGGGGAGAGAGCATGTAGAGACAGATAGCTGTCTGTGTCAGAAACTATAGAATTATAGTAGTGTAGACAGACAAGTTCCTAGAAGCTAAACTTTGGTCAGCCAAGTAAAATCACCATGAGCAGGGACCGCTGAAGACCCAGAATCTTGCCCCTCAGGTCAAGCTTATGTCTGTCTTTGAGGCAAAAGTCTCTCTAACCCAGTACCTAAAAGAAATGAACTGTTTCTAGAGACATTCCTTCACACCTTAGGACAAGTTTGTCCTTCTGTTCTCACCACCCCAACTCATTCAGACTCAATTTTGCCTTCCCAAGCACCTTCCTTTCTCCATAAGAATGAAACAAACAAACAAAAAGCTTTTTAGTGTGTCTGTAAGAAATATCTTTGTTGAAACAAATAAATGAGAAACAAAGCACCTCAGTTGTATCAGGAAAAGGGACAGGGAAATTGTGTTCACCTCAATTGCCAGGAATTATACTCAGCATTTTCTAGCTCTAAAGACAGTGGTCATTTTTAAAAGATACTTGGTAAACCAGTTGCTGATACTACTCATGAACTCCCATTCATTTTCACATTAATCATTGTTCTAGGACTTATGTAATTATCTAAGTAATGTTTCAACAGTCCTGAAACTAACATAATGGGTCCTAATGAGCATTTCCTATTAGTAAACAGCATGTACCTATAAACAAAGAGGATTCTTTACTCTCTTCTCTGATTTGAGCAAGTTTAGACAGTGGGAAGGTACAGTATGAAAAATATGTTACCACCAGATTTAGGATTTATTATAAAGGTGGCAGATTTTAAGTGACCACAAAATGATTGTCACTTTCCATTGAGAGATAAGACCCACATTCCCTCTCCTGCCCTTAATTCTAGGTGGGCTGTGACTGCTTTGAAAGAATGTGATAAAAAACAATGCTGCCAGTTCTCAGCTCCAAGCCTTGGAAAACTGGCAGTTTCCACTTATTGTCTCTTGAAATCCTCTTCATAGAAGCCCTGAGCTTCGGCGTAAAGGTTCAACTACTCTGAGACTCCCATGCTGGAGAAGCTACGTGTATACACACTTCAATCCTACTCTGAGTTCAGCCTTCCAGCAACCTCCACCAAGTCCATCCTGGCTCTCCAGATCAGCCCATCCATCAGGTGAACACCACCAAGTGACCTCAATCAATGTCACTTAAGAATCACCCTGCCCAGCCTTGCCCAAATTCTTTTCCACCAAATGATAAGACATTTGGTTTTCAATTTTTTATTGATACATAATATACATACATATTTATGGAGTTATATGCATAGAATGTGTAATGATCAAGTCAGGAAGTTTAGGGTATCCATCACCATGAGCATTCATCATTTTCATGTGATGGGAATATTTCAAGTACCCACTTCAAGCTATTTTAAATGTGCAATCCGTTGTTGTTAACTGTTACTTTAAGCCACTAGATTTGAGGTCATTGGTAATGCAGTAAAACATTACCAGAACACTAAGTTTAACAAGTTCAGGAAAGAGAGCAATTTACTGGTTAATGCTATGCTTTGCTTCAAGGAAATGCTTAGTGTTTTTGAACTTTATCTGTTCTTTCTGAAGAATATGTACAGATATGCAGTTTGTTGTCTCTCAGAAGCCTTCACATATGTCAAGAGACCTAATGTGTACTCCCGAGCATAATAGTTTAAGCATTGCCATTTCCTTTAACTCTTCCTGCTAAACTGTGGTTTTATGGGCCTTCCACCATCCTTATCTCCATCAAGATTTGGTTAGATGCCGTTAGGAATAACTTGAAGAAGAGAGAGAGAGCACAGTGATGAAAGATGGCATTTCTCTTTCACAAAAACCTAGGAAATGAGGCCTTCCTGTGGATAACCTTGAAGAGATACCAGATTCTCTAGTGGCCCCATGAACCAGCCTATCTGTGAACTGAAGTACTCAGGAGTGGCCAGTGTGGTCATAAGCTCCCATTCTATTTTTTCTTCTTGGATATTTAAAAATGTCTTGATGTGCACATAGATTTGTACTGATATAGCCCAAACTATGTGAAACAAAATAGAATAAAGTAATTTACTTTTATATTGGTTATACCTAAACCCATAATTTGCAGCCCCTGGAATCAGTAAACCTAATAATGTCCTGGAACCAAGTGTTTCCGGTTAAAGGCGAGTCAGAAGCCAGCCTTGGGTGTAGGAATTCAGGTGCACTTTGGCATGACTGACAGCAGTGACCCAAGATCCGTCTGGCCTTCTAGCCATGTGTCCTCAGCCCTCACCGGTGGTCACAATGACCAGCCATTCT